GCGGTGCACATAGTAAGCGCTCGGTAAACAGGAACCACCATAACTCCTATTTCACTAAGAGGCAGCCCATCATCTGCTCAGAAATTCAATGCTGGTGCCTCCCAAGGACCCTGGAGGATGGACCCAATCAGATTCTTGCCCAGTCTGAGCTCAAGAGCCTGGACCTGTCATGGTGACTGCCCTCTCCCACAGTTCAGAACTGCGGGAGGGACATAGCTCAGAGGGAGACCGTGTGCTTAGCGTGCACGAAGTCCTGGGTTCAAACCCCAGAACCTTTATTAAAACAAACAAAAAAATCTGCTGTCCTGGGCGCTCTGACAAGTGGCGTTAGGAAGGCTGGACAGCCACATGTAACGCAATGAAGTTAGAAGACTCCCTCACATCATACACAAAAATAAACTCTCAGTGGCTTAAAGATTTAAACATAAGACAGGAAAACATAAACCTCCAGAAGAGGACACAGGCACAGCGTTCTCTGATATAAATCTAAGGACATTCTCCTAGGGCAGTCCACCGAGGTGACAGAAATAAAAGCAAAAAAAAAAAAAAAAGGGACCTAATCAAACTTAGAAGCTTTTGCACAGCAAAAGAAACCATAAACAAAATGAAAAGGCAACCTACAGGCTGGGAGAAAATATTTGCAAAAGATGTGACTGACAAGGGCCTTTGTTTCCAGAATATTATAAACAGCTCATGTAACTCAATAACGACAGCAGCTAAAAAGCCAACCCGATCAAAAATGGGCAGAAGGCCTACAGACAGCTTTCCCCCAAGAAGACATCCAGATGGCCAACAGGCACATGAAAAGATGCTCAACATCATTAATTATCACAGAAATGCAAATCAAAACGACAATGAGGTATCACCTCACACGGGTCAGAATGGCCATTGTTAAAAAGTCCACAAACAATAAATGCTGGAGAGGGTGTGGAGAAAAGGGAACCCTCCTACACTGTTGGTGGGAATGTAATTTAGTGCAGCCACTATAGAGAACAGTATGGAGGTTCCGTGAAAAAAACAAAAATAGACTTACCGTATGATCCAGCAATTGCATTCCTGAGCATCTATCTGGAGGGAACTCTAATTTGAAAAGATACATGCACCCCAGTATTCATAGCAGCTCTATTTACAGTAGCCAAGACATGGAAGCAACCTAAATGTCCATCAGCAGATGACTGGATAAAGAAGATGTGGTATATTTACACAATGGAATACTATTCAGCCATAAAAAATAATAAAATGATGCCATTTGCAGCAACATGGATGGACCTAGAGATCATTATTCTAAGTGAAGTAAGCCAGAAAGAGAAAGAAAAATACCATATGATATCACTCATATATGGAATCCAAAAAAAAAAAGACACAAATGAACTTACTTACAAAATAGAAACAGACTCATAGACATAGAAAACAAACTTATGGTTACCAGGGGGGAAAGGGAGTGGGAAGGGATAAATTAGAAGTTTGGGATTTGCAGATACTAACTACTGTATATAAAATAGATAAACAACAGTGCAGCACAGGGAATTATATTCAATATCTTGTAATAACCTATAATGAAAAAGAATATTTATATATACACAACTGAAACACTATGCTATACACCAGAAATTAACACAACATTGTAACCTGGCTAGAGTTCAATTTAAAAAAACAAAAAACTGAGACACAAAATCACATCTCTAGTCCTTCGCACAGCCTGCTGAACGAAGGTCGCCAGATCAGGTTCTTCTGGTTGGCCCCCCATCCCGCCAGCTGTCAGCTTTTTAAAAATAAAATCCTGCAGAGAGATGGGAGTGGACTGCACACTCACCAGCTCAGGCTGCACCCATTCCTTTGATCCAGTAGGCCTTTTCCCACCGGTGATCCAGGTCTTCAGTCTACCTGCCCCTCCTTCTAAGCCTCAGAGGTCTCCCTTTGAGAGAGAAGAGACAGAACACAGCAAGAGAGCTGGAAAAGGAAGGAGTTACGGAAATCAGAGGTGAAATAAAGTAGAGATAAGACAGGAAATAAGCCCAATAGACCAAAACCTGGACAACGGAGGGCTTGGCAGAGGGGGGACGTTGTGTGGAAACCCGGAGACTGTTTTCTCAATGAGGCAATTAATGGTTTCTTGGTAGAAAATAGCTTCCCCTTGAGGGCAGCCAGTGAGTCCAGTGATGGGACCAAGACCATCGCCAACCTGATTAAGTGAGCTGACCCGACAAATTAAAATTTCCCTCGCCCATTACATACCTCACGAGTCTCTAGATAGTAACGCAGGTGAGAGAATGTTCAGGTGACGTTTGCTCTGCTGGAGAACCTCATTCCTGGAGCACATGACCCTGGAGGTCACCCACTGCTGGCTCCGGGCTAGGAAGTGATGCTGAAAACATCACTGTAGCAACAGCAAGACCCGTAATAACAGCAACGACTCACTCCCTGAGAGTGGGAGTCTCCCGTATCCCACTGCGTCCCCACTCTCAGCCGGTCAGAGGCACATCACCGCCCCATTTTAGAGACGAAGGACCGGGAGGTTAAATAGTTTACCCAAAGCCACGTGGCAGGACTGGGATTCACACCTATGTCCACATGCTTCCAACGGCTAGGCTGTGCTGGCTCTCGGGATTTTAAACTCCAAAGAGCTACTTAAAGGAGATATTCACTCTGCTTTTCCAGAGTTTTCTAATTACTTCATTGTGCAGTCTTCTCCTTATGGATGTATTGTATTGTATTGTGTTGTATTTTTTTAATTGGGGGGAGGTAATTAGGTTTATTTGATTTTTTTTTAATGGAGATACTGGGGGTTGAACCAAGGACCTCATGTATGCTAAGCACATGCCCTATCGCTGAGCTCTACCCTCCCCCTGGATATATTTTAAAATACAACTTGGTTCCTTTAAAATGGCTGAGTGCTGATCTTATGTTACCAATTGTTGGTGCTGGGTGATGGGGATATGGGGAGCCACTACACAATTCTACTTTTGTGTGTGTGTTGCATTTTTTAATGGAAGGATAGTCAGTTCACAATGTTGTGTGTCTGGCACACAGCAGCATGTTTCAATCATACGTATTACTTCTGTATGTTTTTGATGATCCGTATTTAAGTTTGGATTTTTTTTCTTGCATTGGTTCTTTGGAAAGTGGTGTGAAGTCAACACTAAACGCTGAAATGAGATTGCAACTCTCACGGAGCTGCCAGCCCTCCATTAATAAGCAGCCTCGGTGTCGTCCCTGGTCAGACGGTGTTTGGCCCGCGAGCCCGCGGCCGGGATGCCGGCCGCCTCGCCAGGTGAGAACCGGCTGCTCAGAGTAACTCTCTGAGCAGGAAGGGATTTTTCCCAGCCCCTACCCCGTCCACTAAGCCTTGGCGGGGGTGGTAGGTCTCACCAGAGATGGGGGACCGCAGGGGGAGGCTGGCGGGAACCACGTCCTCTGTGCTTCCTGACATGATGACATCTAACTGCAAAGTTTTTAGATAAAAGATGAGGTTGATTGGGACCATTCCTCCCAACTCTCCAGAAAAAGCAGAGCATCCAGGCAAACCGTTCTCGTTTCCTTACCTGTCCCTCATTCAATCATCAATGGCTTCAGTATTTCATCCCCTCTAAATTGTTCAGTACTATTTCATCCACTTAGGTGTCATTTCCTTGCTAAAAGGAAGAACTACGGGGGCTAGAAAGAAGTGAGTGAACCGGTCATACTAATCTTTCCTGCTTTTACCTGTCACTCCCCCAAGATAAACAGTCGAGCTGTACAGAGTCCTCCTCCCTTTCCTAAAGGAAGGGCCAGACATGGGGCGGGAGAAGCTGACACCGCTGTGGGACAGGATTCCCTAGGAAAAAGTTGGGAACTTTTGGCACTGGCCTCACAAGGGAAAGGCATCCTCTCCCGTCATTAAATTTTCCTGATGACGACAAGAAACCCTGCTCCTAAATCTATGGGTACCCATTTCCTTTCCTGCATCTGAAGATCCTGGCAGACTCTGTTTTGTTTGTGGAGGTGATGCCACTGACTTACAGGCTGACAGAGGACCAAATTGGTTTTCTCCAAGGAGAAACCTTGACCCTGAAGAACAGAGAGAACTTCTATAGTGGTTTCTGGTTGTTTGTTTTTATATAAAGCCCTCCCTCGTCTCCTCGGTTCATCATGGCTCTGGTGGAACAGAGGTAGACAGAACAGTGTGTGTTTCCATTTTTCTAGGCGATTCTATGTGCCTAATTATTTGTTTCCCTTTCCGTGGAAAAGGCCAGCAAGTTCTCCAGTTGGGTCTGATTGGTTGATGCTGTTTCCATCATGAAGTCTAAGTCTGTCCCAGCAACCTGAGCGGAAAAAGCATCGCAGTGTCACCCAGAATAAATGACTAAGAGGAAAGTGACTTTTCCCACTCGAGGAAGTGGCGGATCAACGAATCCCCAAACTGAAAACAGCAAAACAAAACCCAAAAAACTCAGGTGAATGTGAAACAGAGGTGAGAGGGCCTCTCACAAACACACAAAAGCCAAACCAGTCGACTGCTCTATCAGCCCACGAGCTGGTGGCACCACCTTTATACAGTGAAACAGAATATGCCGGAAACATAGAGATGGAGAAGAGAAAGTAGGTGCCCACGGAGGAGGCACCAGGGGAGAAAACGGACTCACCAAAACCACCGAGGCGTAGTGTGCTTTCAACTCAATAAAAAGTCCTAGAAATACACACACACAGACCAACGGCCAAAACAGCAAAGGGAACTCAGTAAGGAAACGCATGTTCATAAAAGAAGGTGCCGTATTCCGTTGGTTGAAAGTAGGTTTCTAAGGAGTCCAATTGGCCGGTCAACCCCAACCCAAGGTCACAAACCAGAGTGCAAGGTGATTCTGCCCCGTGTGGGAGGAGGAGGGCGGTCAAGTCCCACAGGATGTTAACACGAAGCTGACTGGTGGTTCAGATGTTTGAGGAAAGGGAGCATGTTGTTCAAGGACTCGGTGGTCTGCCATCGTGTGAACGTACAAGGTGATAATTCACTTTAAAAAGCTGTATTGCTAATGTCCAGGGTGACTTTATTTCATGGAAAAAATTTTAAAAAGACATCAACGTGATTTTTCCTAAACACAGTGGGCATTTTTCATTCTTCTTTTATCACATCATACACACACACACAAGAGAAAAAAATCAACAGAAATACACCAAAACATACCTCTAGACCCCTTAAATTAGCAGATTTACAATTAAAACTTGAAGCAATATTTTGTTATACTTTGACCCCAAACTCTATTTACAAATTAAATTGCACTTATAAAGACAGCAATGTTTCTAATAGGGTTATTCTGCTTTATTGTGGTTTTATATCGCGATATAAAACTTTTAAAGCTTTCTTCAATTAAAAAAAAATCATACTTTCTTTTGCAGTACATAATTTATTTACCCACTGCGTTTCTGAGCCAGCTTTCTCTTTTTGTGCTTTTCTGGTTATTTTATTTTACAAATGGCACACACTTTCTGAGTAATTACAGTCAGACACCACACTCATCATTAAGGGACTCATTCATGAAAAATCAGAGTGTAAGAAGTGAGATATTAGCAGTTAAATCCTTTGGTTCATCTATTTAAAAAAAAATCAACCAATATAATTTATAAATTGGTGGTAACTCTTCTTTTTGGTTAAAAATAAATCCACCTGGTCGATCACGGATTAAAAGCCAACACTGCTTTAACCGTACCACGTTCCAAGCGTCACCTCACTGCTCAGAGAGGCTGCCGTGTGCAACGGTTTGACAGAACACAGGATACAGTAAGGCACAAGGGGGTGGTACAGATAAAAACAAACACTTTAGGATTGGTTTGGTTAATTATTTTTTTTTCCTGCACAAATGCTTAAATGTGTACCGTTTTCCGGATAAAATAACAAAAAGAAATACATAAATTTTTTTGTTACGAAATACCTATACAAAAATTTTTAATTTACACCATCTGAGCTGCCAAAAAAGGTTTAAAAAAGTATCCATTCCCCGCCCCTCCCCAGACATAAAACTCTCTCTCTCGTCAGTAGGTCCAAGAGAACTTGGGTTTACAACGCCCCAGCACTTGATGGATGGGAGGGAGGAGGATAGAAATCCCGCTTCCTGCTCTCCCTTAGCCCAACATAAGACAAAAACAAGGGTCAGATGTTTTCAGTAGTGTATTCTACTTATTACAAACAACTGAAGTATAGGGGGAAAAAAAAGAGGCGGGAGCCCACGGGCGCGGGTTGGAGTAAGGCACTTGCCGGGGGAGCAGCACCCCGACCCGCGGCGGGCAGTGCGCGCGGTCCGGGCGGACGGAGGAGCGCGGCGGGGCAGGCGCCGTCTACACGGATGTGGTCACCCGGTCCACGGCGTGGTTGACCTCGTTCTTGTTGGAATCCAGTCCTTTAGCAGCGTGCCTGTCATTTCGCAAGTTCTCCACTGTCTTTTTCAGGTTCTTCAGCTCGCCCGGGTGCGGCGTGGCCCGCCTCTGAAGCGTTCTCTGCAAACAGAGAGCGGAGCGGGCGGCTGGGTTTCAGGGCATCCCGGGGCTGGCCTTCCAGCACGGTCTCACCTCCCCGGGGCTCGGGGCTCAGGGCTCAGGGCTCAGGGCTCAGGGCTCGGGGTGCGGCGGAAAGGCCGGCCTGGGGGGGCTACCTGCGTTTCAACCGCTCACCAGTGGTTAACCGAGGATGGAGGATCAAAGTGTTGCGTGTAACTTACCTGGTCCAGATGGAAGGGTTACTTTCGGAATAAAGGATCTTTTGTAAAATAGGAGATGAGTGTTGAGATGAAAACAAAGCTCCGTGAACGGTCAGAAGGAAAGAAAGGACTTAAGCGAGACAGAACTGTGGGGGCAGACAAAGATGAAGGGGTAAAAAAAACTCTAAAATTAAAATCGCTGGATGTTCTACTATTATCTGAAGTGGTTCTGGCTTCCTTCAACCCACGAGGCATGGGAGGCGAAGGAACAAGGGAAATGGGAAAGCACTTCTTTTCTGATTTTGCTGCTGTGTTTCATTTATGTGACCTACCAAAGAAAGTCTGAGTTCTTCTAAAAGACCTCAGTGCTGGACATGAAGTAACGGGCGTGGGCAACATTTTAAAGATTATGTTATTTAACACATGACTTGCTCTTTCGCTCCTGAAACAGTGTTTACATTTTTTAAATGGCCTCTCCGGGAGCTTCAGAAGGTTAAAAAAAGGAAGGGCATTGCCGAGGCCACGAGTAAGGGGTGAAACAACCCTGCTCTAAGTTGTGGGGTGAGCAGTAGAGGGTCACGAATGCGGACTTCATTCTGTCATGCCTGATTCCTGCCGTGCACTGTACTCCTGCAAATGGGTAAAGTCCCATCTGGGGACAGCTGGGATAACAAAGACTCCAGGCAGTAATTTAAAAATCCACTCTTCGGTTCGGGGGCTGGAAGCACTCCCTCTCTTCTAGGTTATGCTTATGAAAATCTCAATTAGTGCAAGGAGTTTTAAGACGCCAAAGTCAACTTGTAGGAAGGCTCCAAGAGTTGTCGCTGACCCCTGGAGACGCTGGGGGGCTGAGACACACTGTCAGGGACGGATGGAAGGAGGGCTGACTGGCCCTTTCCCACCTGCCCCCGATTTCTGAATGAAGACCTGTAGGGTCATCCTACTGAGGCCACAAGCTCTCTGCTTGAAGGTGAAGGGCCCCGGCTACACGAAGGAGGACAGAGGTCTAGGAGGACAGCAGGCAGGTTAAGTCACATCATGAAATGAGGATGAGTCCACATGGGACAGCTGTAAGCCGGGGGTGGAGGGTGGGAAAAGACTTCGTTCACCCGGAACAACACAAAAGAAAAAATTCCCAACTAATTTTGAGAAAACAGTGGGGGGAGGAGGGGACATTATCGCAAAGAAAAAAAACAGACGCACCCACAAACTATTCAAACAAAATAAATAGAAGTCCCATTTGCCCGACATACATTTGGTGAATCAGGATGGAAAAATACCTAGTTTTCTCTCTAAAAAAAATTTCTTTTAAGTTTTGTTTTGCTTTGAATTAGTTAATTAATTTTTACTGCGGGGGGAGGTAATTAGGTTTATTTATTTATTTATCTTAACAGAGGTACTGGGGATTAGAACCCGGGACCTCATGCATGCTAAGCATGCACTTTACCACTGAGCTATATACTCTCCCCTTAAAAAAAAAAATTCTTAAATGCTGAAGGCAAAACAGAGAAAAGACTGTTTGAAAATAAAAGTGATCTTTATCGGATGTGACTCTCCGTCCACCTCGGAAGGCTTTCACATTGGGAACTTCCGCGGGGGCAAGAGTCTCCGTTTCCATACCGTTTCGTTGTCATCCTCATCCTTCTCATCTTCCACGAATCGGATTGCGCTGACTCTGTTGACCGCACGCTCGTTCCAGGCCTCATCAGAGACGTCGTTCACCAAGCTCTCCAGGGCAGCACAGCGGGCCAGGTTCTCTGTCGGACAAAGAGCACGTCAGCAGGGAACCGGGGTCCTGTGACCAGCAAGGCTGCCCTTCCTTTTCAATGATGCATAATGCTATTTGAGATCGTAAAATAGCCACTGAATCAACGTTTACTATTTCACTGCAGGATGACATCATAATGGATGGAGTTCTTTTTCATGATTCTTTTTTACACACTCGCTTCAAAAACTCCCTCTTGACAGCTGTGTGGCCGCGCGTGTTGGATCTAGCACTGTCCTTAGTAACACAATCTGCCGCGTTGTTCCCTTGGGGTCTTAAACGCTCCTCTGACTGGGATCAGCAAGGTGGCTGTGTTCACCCAGAACCTTCTGGCTCCCCTCTATCAAAACCAGCTCTCAGCAAAGGGTTTACGACAGTAACATGACGTTGGAGTGAATGCTTTTTCAAACTACACTGATTTACAAAACACAGACACAGTCACTCCAAACAGCTCCCTGGCTTAAAAACAGTTTGCTGGAGATGTTCAGTACTAACCCTCCAAACCATCAGTTTGGATTTTAAGTGACTCTAGCCTCTTTTAGGAGTATGTATTTTGTATTTTCAGCCTTCACTCTGAGTCAAAGCCAAAACACTAAAGAATTTCAGACGTTGGAAAGAGGTGTGAGCAGCCCATTTTCTGCACAGATGCAGGGAGACTTTCCCAGAAAAGACCCACCACGACCTCACAGCCGGGCTGGCTCTACGGGCAGACAGACAAAACACAGCCTCACACGGGTGTGAGAGGTCTTAGGGACAGGCATGAGGGCCGCCGGCCTCGCGGCCAAGTGAACACGGTCCTTAAACTCACCTTGGCAAGCAGGTTCGGAAGGCAGCTGAGGCAGTAAGACACAGGTGAGAATCTTCTCCCCCGTGGCGTGGTCCATGTCCGTCTGGAACGTGAGCAGGGGCTGGGACTGGTTGTCGGACAACCACAGAGCCTTCAGCTTCAGCGTGGTCAGGGACAGAGGCAGGTGCAACAACCTAATTTAAAACAAAAGGAGGCATCGGGATCTCAAAATTCGTAACTACCTCAATTCTTGTTCAAAACCAGAAAAAAAAATTAAAAAGAGCTTCCTGGGACTGGGTTCACTATGCATGAAGACGTCATGTCTAGAATAAGACACTTGATTGGCATCACATAGAGACCCTTCAGTCGGGCACTGGGCCCCCCTTCTCTGCCATCAACCGTCCCATTAGCACCTCCAGGCCACAGGGCAAAAAAATGAGGAAATCACAAAACACACTATTTACTTTCATACTAGGATGTTTCGATTTAAAGAGTAGGAGAGGGCAAGACAGTGTAATTGTGGAAGGACCCAGAAGCCAGAGTTGTTACCACGACAGCCTCGCCAGCAGGGCTAGTGTGAAGCAAAGATGACTCTGAGGAGGATCTCAACAGGGGGCCCCCAGGGGACCCCTGGCAATGTCTGCAGACATTTTGGGGGATGCTGTTGCTATGGAGGGGGTCGAGGCCAGGCAGGATGCTAAACATCCTACAGTGAACGCTTAAGACGGCCTCACAGCAAGGGCTTATCCAACCCCAAATCTCACAGTGCCAAGGGCAAAACTGTAGTAAAAACCCGATGTTTTTATACAGGTCTACTCATTCACTCTGAAAACCACCCAACCTCTGCAGACACCAGGAATTTAAGGTTTAAAGAAACTAAGGTTTTCATTGATCAAGTATGTTCACTCTAAGGATGGCTCCGAGGATTAAGTCAGTCTTAGAAGTGACTCCATCAGTTAAAGAGCCATCCACTAATCACATTCTGTTAATGACAACAGGAGGCACACTTTCTTAAAAGAAATCTCTGGCTCCTTAATTCGATAAGAAGTTATATGACAGCGTGTATTCCTCGGGTTCCTTCTTCTATGATACGGTGCATCTGCCATGAGTTAACACACATGGGAGACCTCCCTGTACGCCTCGCCCACAGATTCGCACCGCCCTTTCAGACACATGCACCACTGTGAACAGACAGACGTAAGGAAAAATAAACTAGAACCCTACACAGAGCTATGAAGAGAAGCTAGACTCCGAGATTGTAAAACCAATCTAAGCAGAATGCAAGCACAAGCCAGCGAAGCCACTTGAACAAATGAAGTTCAAAACGATCAAAGAACGTGTAGGGAGCATTTACAACAAATGCACTAACAAATGTTTTGTAAGGATAATTAATAGGTTTTGCAAAAGACTTCCAACGCGCTAGTGATCGAGATGAAAACATTTTCTTTTCCTAACGCTTAGTCCAGTGAAGGCAGGCAGATCCACCCCACGCGCAGGCGCCGGGTGCAGTGCTGAGCACACACTGCGGTACCTCAGTTAGGTTCTCAAGTCAGTGTATCCACGAGAACTGCACTTGTTAAAGGACCCTGGAAGAGACTCCACGTCTTAGAAATACTACAGTATTTCACTGATGTGAGCCAAATGGAGGGACAAATAGGTCATTTCAAATCCCAGAATTAGGCCAGTGCACTGACTTGCTTCTACCATGAGGATGCCCGGGGGAGCCGAGGGAGCAGTGACTCACAGCCCCACCTCCCGCACTTGAGGTACTGGTTCTTTGCAGGGACAGAAAGACTAAGTCCGTAATGCTCATACAAATCACTTCGCCCTCTGCCCAAAGGCTGCCACGCACATACTCGAAGGCAAGGAAGTTAAAGACACAAGGCAAGTATCTGCCCGAGGCTGTGACAGGGAGTTTTTTTTAAGAACATACTAATACGTGGTGGACGCGTAAAGTACATCAAACCCTTTTATCATTTTACTGAACAAAAGGGCAATTTCTTTAGAAAGTTTGTTCCTGTTTTTTGTTTGCTTGTTTGTTTTGTTTTGTTTTTTTAAGGGAGTTAAGCTAACAATCCTCCAGAATGTTTCAAGTTTCAAAGTCTGGGGCAGGAAATCTGTTGTCAGCACGTCTACCCCCGGGAACTTCTGAAGGAAAGATAAATCAGGGTCTGAAAGCTGGCACGACACACGGATACTAACACACCGTCATCACACTCCTCAGACTATTAAACCGGCTTCCCACCTAAACGCCAAAGCAAAGGTATCACTAAAAGGCTAAACCGAGCATCAATAATAACGGCTTCTATGGATGACACATCATACAGTAAAAGCTGAAATAAATTACTAGACTCCACAGTGATACATCTTAAAATCACATTCAACCAAGCCATGTAAGCCTGACGTGCTGTCTCCAATACTGGTTTTCCTGCCAAGCACTGGTGTCCAGCCTGGGTACGGCTGTTACTGACCAAGCACACACCACACACGAGCTCGTTCACCAGTGTCTTGTGGACAGAGGTGTTCCCTGTGGTGTCCAAGAGGGAAACAGTGTGCAAACAGAGGCTCTGCGACAGGCTGGGCCGGCCCTCCCGCTGACTCACTGTGGCCTGGGGAGAAAAGACACAGACACACACTCCTCTGTTCCTCTGGGGTGAACCATCCCAGACACAAGCCAGCAAACAGATTACAAAATAAAATTTAAAACAATACACACACACACACACACATTCTTGCCTTCCAGCGAGTTAATAATACATTTTTGGTTTTACCCTGGTACCTTCTGTGTTCTGCAGAACCAACCCAAGAAGCCACAGCCCCATCTGAAGACATCTCTGTGTTCCATTTGGAACCGCGTTCCCTCCAGAAATAAAACGCCTGTGGTTACTACTGACATCAACAGTACAAAGACTAAAGCAAATGAGCAGCCAAACCATGACCCTCTAGTTTCCAGTGCTATCTGTGACCCACCCGGCCTGCAGTGGCCTTCCCCACCTCTGACTCTGAATGACAGCAACCGCTCTGTCCAATGTACTTAGCACTAAATGTGGCCTGCGGGTGAACGTAACACTAATTCGGCCATGGCTGGATGCGAATTACCGTTGACTGCTTCGTCTGTTCACTGCCTCCGACTAGAATTTTTAGTTTTAACCAAAGTTTTCAAAAATGTTTAAAGACGTGTTAAAAAAAAGATAAAAATAAAAATAAATACACTTGTTGAAAAAAAATGTTTAAAGATATACAGAGAAAGAGAACATAATAAGTGAAAATGTAAAGAAGTGTGAAACATTAGGAGTTTGGGATTAACAGATACACATGACTGTACATAAAATGCATAAACAACAAGGTCCTACTGTACAGCACAGGGAACTACATTCAATATCTTGTAATAGTCTATAAGGGAAAAGAATCTGAAAATAGATGTAAATTTATACGTATGTACATGTATAACTGAGTTGCTTTGCTGTACACCTGAAACCAACATCATAAATCAATGACATGTCAATAAAAAATAAGAATTAAAAGATATATATATAGTGAGAGAACATAATCAGTGAAAAAGTGTAAACAGTACCAAAATATCTAAAGGGAAAGCCCCCAGTAACCTCAAGTTTCTATTCCTTTTCTAGGGGAGCTACTTTAGTATTTCGGTGCTCTGTATAGGTAAGGCTTTCTAGAAACAAAAACTAGAGGTCCGTGGATAGCTCTACACTTGCTCCTTGTCCTGCGCATCACGGAGTGTCTTCCAGGTCCCTGTGCAGAGACATATCTCATTCCGTAGCTGCTTCGAATTCCACCGTCTACCATTGTGTTGCGTTTTGCCTTTTAATGTTTTTTCCCGCTGTACTGACATATAACTGACATATAACACCATGTAAGTTTAAGGTGGATAACGTGACGATTTGTTACACTTACGTATACAGTTGGCTCTCAGGTCCGAGGATGCAGGACCCGTGGATACAGAAGACCGACTGTACTACGGCATCTTATGTAAGGGATGGGGCGTCTGCCCACTTTGGTAACTTTGGGGGTCCTGGAACCAGTCCCCGTGGATACGGAGGGACCACTGCATTGTGACTCGAGGACGGCAGCGGGCTTAGCAGCACCTCTGTGACCTCACTTAATCACCATCGTGTGTGTGCGTGCGTGTGCGCGCGCCACCGTGTTGTACCGCAGATCCCCGGAGCTAATTCACCTTACAGCTGGAAGTTCGCACCCTTTGATCACCATCTTCTCATTTTCCCCACCCTCCGGCCCCTGCAGCCACCACTCTACTCCCTGTTTCTATGAGGTCGGCTTGTTTAGATTCCACATATCAGTGAGATCATAAAGTATTTGGCTTTCCCTGTCTAACTTATTTCACCGAGCAAAATGCCCCAAGGTCTATCCATGTTGTCGTAAAATGGCAGGATTTCCAACTTTCTCAGAGCTGAATAATAGTCCACTCCACACAGTCACACACACACCCTTTCTTTATCCATTCGTCTGCCCTCGGATGCTCATGCAGTTTCTATATCTTGGCTACTGTGAATGTCAACGTCGTGAACATGGGAGCGCAGACATCTCTTCACTCTCCCATTTTCTTTTCCTCTCGGTATATACCCGGAGTGGGACCGCTGGATCATATGGCAGTTCTATCCACCCTATCTTCCATGGTGGCAGCACCAATTTCCATTTCCCACCAACAGTGCACAAAGGTTCCCTTCTCCCCACATCCTGGCTGACACTTGTTAAATCTCCTGTCTTTCTGATAAAAAGCCATTCTAACAGGTCTGAGGCGATATCTGGTAATCTTTTTAATTTAACTTAATTCAACTTCTTGGTTTATAAAATTCCAAGGTGCAAACAATTTCCCTAACGACCACCACGGTTTGTAGTATTTGGTCTTGGTAATACTGCGAGAAGATGCTCTGATACCTGACTGGGTGCCCTTGGTGGGAGTTCACCTGGGGAAGCATCTGAGAGCGAAGGGCACTGCAGACTGGGCCCGTAGGTAGCTGCTGATACAAGACACCTTCTCTGTTGCTGTACCAGGAGGCGTGACGCTCAGTTTCCAAGTGGCATTTTAGAGTTATCCTTGCTAGAATCATTCCTATCAAACGTGTCAAGGAAAGTTCCCAGAAACCAAGGCACCGACTCCCTGCGCCACCTGCTATCTCTGTATGCTTGAAAGGAGGGGCAGAAACTCGTGCATTTGGTGTGATTTCCCACGGTGTGACATTTCTGTAAGCAAAGAAGCTGACATGGTAAGTCTTTTTTTTTTAAATTAGTTTCTACACTGATACTTTCAATTAGCAGTCATTAAATATATTAATAAGCTTAAAATCTACACATACACGGACTAAATGACACACTTAACTGACTCGGACGACAGCACCCCAACCCAAGTGCAGTAAAACCTGAACCTTGGCTGCCTCTGTGAGCGGGAGAACGGGGCTTTCATTCAGGTAAAACAGCGTTGAGACATCAGAGCCACGTTTCGGCTCCGGAATGAGTGATGCAAAGCCACACTCCCCAGAGAGGCGAGAACCAGGACCGGTTTGGTGTCACTGAGTTTCTCCTGCTGGCGGGGAGAGCTCAGGGCAGAACTTGCCCTCCTCCAGCTGTATGTCTCCTGTCAGACTCGGTCCAACAAGAATTTCAGCGGCCAACACCCATCAATCCTGACCTCTGGTCAACCAAGATGTCCCACAAGCATTAACTTTAAAGAGGTGAGCGTTCCCTGAGGCCACAACTCAGCACCAGAGTCCAGCCCTGCTGTCCACAATCCACGAGCAGGACTGAACAATTGTGGTTCGTGCCGGACCTAAGTGAGCGGCCAACCAGACATCGGACACCATCCCCCAAACACCCTTCAGATCACCGGCATTTACCATTTAGAACCCCCGATTCTAGCACCTTGCCCCCGTCCCCCATCTAACTATATAATGCCTGCAAGCCTTTTTTAAATTCCTTTTTGGCAATGAAGCTGATGAGACCAGGCACCTCGCAGTGGCCTGCTGGTCATTCTGCAAAACGAACATTTTTTTGCATTTTCATTCAGTCAACAACTATTTGCCTGGCATCTGTTATGTGCCAGGCACCGGGAAGGGACAAATCCCTCGAGGACACAGCAACCAGAACATCTAACTTTAGGGAACTTAGGCTGTCGGAGGGTCACACACAGGTAAACAGACAGTTATCATGGAGAGAAGGCTCCCTGGCGAAGAGAAGCGTGAGTGATGAGACCAGAGGTAGGAGGAAGAGCCCGGGTAGGCTCGGCGAGGAGGAAAGTGCAGTGACATCCAAGGTGAAGGAAGGAGTTCGGGACAGCGGAAACACCCCGACCGCCCATGCAGGTGAAGAGCAGGCCTCTTCCAGAGACGGCGGGCAAGCAGCGCATGGTCCTCCGACCCAGGACGTGGGAAATGGTGCTGCCCGTGACCTTAGGGACACAGACCTTCAAGTTTTTAGACTACGAACCGCTTGGCAATTCTCACATCAGCCGTAGATCTGTTCACCAGAGAAGCGTCCCCAGATACAATTTTGTTCACAACATCAGGGCGCTCAGAGTCCAGGACTGAGAACCTCAAGACCTCGGGTTGGAATCTAGTTTAAATTCATTTCAGAGGAGGAAACTCCAAGGCCAACGATGACATGCAGAAGCCAGTTCTAAAAGCCAAGTTCAAGCCTAGACTCCCAATTCCCAGGCAGCGCCCTCCTCTCCCATCACGGGGCTGCCATCCAGGAAGCCCTTCTCCAGACGTGCTCACCTTAACTGGAAAGGACCCCGCGCGCTGGCCGTCCCTGACCTTCTCCACTCCCTCGGCTCTGTCACTCCAGCTCCCAGAACCAGGACCTCCCAGGGCCGGGGTCCTGCGACCAACCAGCATCTAGTCTCCGAGGGGAGCGGAGGCGAGGCGGCCAAGGCTGGAGGGGGTGGACGTCAGTTTCTCTGTCTCAAGCAGAGCAGCGCAGAACACGCCTACCTGTTGCCCGCCACATCCAGGACGTGTAGCTCACTGGCCTGCGACACCTCTGCGGGTATTCGGGTCAGTCTGTTGTCACGCACACAGAACACGGTGAGGCTGCAGCACCCGCCGATCTACGATGGGAAAGAAAACACGGCTTTTTTTCCAGGTTGTCCTGAGAAATAAGGGTGGGACTGGAGCATCTTGTTCATCAAATGGCAAGAAAAGGATGCAGGAAATTATATCAGATGATTCTAAGTCTCACTGATGACCCACGATGATCCACGTAAAGCATACAGGGCACCGAGTGGTCCAGGGAGTTCATAAAAATCTCTGCAACACATTCATTCAACATTCATATTCTAAATTAAATCCAGAAGATCGACAGTGCAGTTCCACAATTTCATTCTGAAAAGAAAATCATTTTCTCGTGTTGCCTAATGCAACTGCACCTTTTAAATACGTTAACCAGGAGACACAGGTCCAGGCAAATATTGTTTGGAAATAATAATTTGGAGTTTCAGAAGTCTAGGTTTCCAAAGTTAAGCCAAGGATACAAACACACCAAATACACACACACACACACACACACATGCATGCACACCTTGGAAGACCTGCCCACGACAGTAAAAAAAAAAAAAAAAGAGAGAGAGAGAGAGAAGCATCTGATAGATGATACAATGCATTAATTTCTACCATACGTTTTTTCCCAGCCTTTGTTCATTCACAACTTAATTGGGTAAATTCATTTTCCCTTTGACAAATGCAAAATCAACTATCTTTCAGCAAAAAGTGAATTTGATGGGCTGTGACCCACTGCGAAAAGCAGATGTCAACATCTGTACCCACACCAGATCTGATTACCATTTTTTTTAAGTAAATAATTCAAAGTAAATTGAGCTTTGTATGAGTCTGGTCTTCCCGAAAAGAGCACCTAAGCACAAAAGAATTCAATGATTCTCTTGCATAAACTGGCTGTGGGTTCTACAGTCGGGAAAGCTGACCCAAGAGGGTGGAGGAACGGCTCGCTCCCAGACACAATGTCCCACAGGCCGGGTCCAGCCCCACACCCGCCGCGCACGCGCTGGCCTGAGAGCTGCTGCTGGAAAAGGCTCATGAATGGAGCTATGGCTGCCTCTCTGACCCGTGGAAAAATACTCCAGGGCCTCCCACCTGAGGAGGCAGAGAGACCTGGGCCTTCAACAAAATCTGAACAGAGCTTCACATCACAGAAGCAAAGGAACCAAAACCCTGGACACCCTGGATCGTGTGGGGACCAACAGGACCAGATTCTCTGTGATGAACACAGACGGTCCCAACAAAGATCTACCCCCGGGGGGGAGCCAAGATCCTGGGGTAGGGTGAGCATCTGGGTCTGTGAGCCATGAGGGTGGCCCTCCTGGCCAGCACACAGCTGAGGCTGGACACGCCTCGTCCTGCCATCCTAGCCCAGCTTTGGGGACAGAGTTTATCTGGACTCCAGGGAGGCAAAGCGGGTGTCAGTCACTCACATACCTGATCCCCTGATGGACAGCGAGGCCCCGGGGGTGGGGGTACACAGCTGAAGCTGCACCGTGATTAGGGGCTTCACTTTGTCATGAAGCTGCCCAGCTGACTGTGGGGGGGACCCTGCTGGTATGTATACCATCTCCTCAAAAACCTTAATGAATTAAAGTGGGTCAGAGGAGGGTCTGAAAGGGGTCACTGCGATAAAAGTCCTGGACCCGTTAACACCCCTGAAGTCCTTTGAGGGAAACAGCGAGGACTCCCTGGGGAGTGGGTGCGCTGCCTACTGTGTTTACGGTCGGTTATTTATTTTTCCTTTTTCCTTTCCGTTCCAATCTCACACCATTTGAGACATCAGGGGAGGAAGGCAGTTGCATTTGGGGGCCTCCAGGCTCTCTGGGCTGTCAAGGGAGGGAGAGGGACACTCCTGAGCTGATGCCACTGGCCATATTTTGGAAACAAGGCCAACAGAGAGCCCGTCTGGACCCTGGCGCTCAGACCACTCACACCACCCAACGGGGCCCGTTCCCAAGCCGGCCAGGCGGGGAGGGCGTGAAGCTCGGGCTTCTGGAAAAGACGATCAGGCGGCTGAAACCATGGTTCAGTGGTTTGAGTTCTTTACAGGCGTCAGAGGGGAGAGCGGGGCGATGGAAGGAGGGGGGCTTTGGGATGTCACAGACCTGGGGTGGAATTCAGGCTCCGTCCTAGGTTCAGTAGGTTCGGGTTCGGATATGTCACTTCCACAAAAGTCACAATGAGCATTAGATGGAAAGAAACCACATATGTAATTAGCACCCATCACAGAACCTGGTTCATTGCTGCTGCCATATAAACGCGGCTGCTGTTTTTTGAGAAGTGCGAGTCCCAGGTCCGAGGGATGGACGGTCAACCCGAGCCCAGGCTGTGCTGCTGAAACGTGCTGGGGCCCGGCTCTGCCCTGGACGCACCAGAACTTCCTGGAATGCAGTCTCCCCGACGGTGCATCACAGGGATATTCTGTGTTCACGGTCGTGAAGGCTGCCGTGAGCTCTGCGCTGCGTTTCGCGTCAGTCACTTGGCTTTCTCTCTGGGGTTTAGGAGGCAGCGTTTACACGTTCCTTAGGGGTCAGCAGGATAACACGTCTCCATCACTACAAACTTCCGGGCAGCAGAGTCACTGCTGAACAACTTACTGGCAGTTATGTAGGAAGCTGACATTTTTAAACTCCCTTAAACCCCAGGATAATAGCTTAGAGGAGATGATCAGACAGAGTCCACGATTCAGAGAGAAAGCCTGGACCAGGACCAGCACCTTTGCCCATGCTCCGCTCTATGACATCTGCCCAGAGCGCAAAGGAACTTTCATTCTCCCTCTGTCTCTTCCTTTCAGTGTCATTCGTAACAGCACTGAACCCACATCTCGTAGGCAGAAAGGAAAATGTACAATAAAGCAAAATCTGGTCACGATCCAATTTGAACAGAAAGACCATGATGTGCAATTTTAGAAACCAGAGACTAATTTTGTCTTTCCCATCCCTGGCTGTGGCATATTACTCAAAGGTTCCCTGCTTCAGAAATATTTGGGAAACCGTGCAGCTTTGGGACTCCCTGAATTGCTGGGCCACTGACATCAAAATATCCACTAACAGCTACAGCATTCTTCTTTCTGAATGATTTAAAAAAATAATTTAGTTGACTGGAAAACAAAAATCACAGACACACACACACACACACACACACAAAAGCATGATGAAAAAATAACTCAAACCAAATCCTACCACAAAGGGATAATCACTATTGACCTTCTGAGGTATAAATGCTGTGCATTTGTGGTTATACATCCACACTTCCACAAAATTGGGCCCAATACTATGATCTCAGCACCTTTGTTCACGCAGAACGTCGTCAAGAATGTCTTTCCACGTCATTATGTTTCTAACAGGATTTTTACTGGCCCCATAGTTATTTCATTCTTTCAGCTGTACCACAGATTACTTAGCACATCACCAGTTTAGACACTGCTCATTAGTTGTGCCATTTCTTTGCTGTGTGTTCCTGGGCAGGTTACTTGACCTCTCTGAGTGTGAGTTTCAGAATCTGTTGGATGTTGATAATGAGTGACCTACACCTCCTAGAATTATTGTGACCATCAGACACAAACAAGCACATTATATGTTACTCTTATAACACCTGGGATAAGACAGTACCTGGCACGGGCTCACCATCCCTGTACACGCTCGGCACAGTGCCTGGAATGAGAGATGCTCCTATGCACACTGTGAGAAGTAACCTTGCATGTGAGTCTTAGTGTATCCATAATTGTTTTTTCTTGGGATAAATTCCTACGAGTGGAATTATAGAATCCAAGGGTATGCGCATTTTCAAAGGGCTTAATAACATTACCACATTCCCTTCCAGAGAAGCCAGAAAAATTTATACTTCCCAGATAATATGCACTTCCCTGTACGCTCACCAGTCTTTGCTATATGACTACACTTTTTAAATCCTGAAAATCTGATAGGCAAAAATGCTTGAATTAACATTTTGTAAGTAATGATTTCACGTTCATCGCCATTTCTCTCTCTTCTCCTGTGAATCACTTACTGGCTCTTGGGAGGGTCTTTGCTTGAGTTTTGGCCCATTTGTCCAGAGTGGGCACATCTCTTTTCTCAACGGGATGAAAGAATTTCTAACAGAGTGAGGAAAGACATCCATCACGTGTTACGCAAATGTGCTCCTCTCCCCAGGCTGTCTATTGTCTTGAAGATCAGAAGCCTTATTTTCAACTAGGCAAATCCATCAACTGTTTCTTTTAGGACTTATTTCCTCTTTCAAGTTTAGGGATAACTTCTCCATCTTGAAACACAGGCTTTTTTTTTTTTTCTTTCTAGCATGTTTAGGCTTTTAGCTTATATGATCTCTTTTATTGGTCAATAATTCGCTGTAGGACACCGTGGGAACTTACTCCAGAGAATTCTAAATCCTGCTAATAGGAAGGCAGAAAGCTCTCCACGAAACGAGTACTCTAACCCTGCGGGCATTTCTGAATGTCCTGAATATCTGTGGCTGTGTTTGATGTTTGCAGACTGCTTGACAAAGAGAAGCTTTGATGACTGACCTGCAAATCTTTCCCTGTCTCATTTGGCTGGATAGGTGTGATGCAGTGAGGGTCCCTTTTGTTTTGACTTAACGGAAACAAAAGACTGAACTCCAGACTTGGACACGTGCTCCACTTCGTCCAGCCAGCAGCTCCTTGTGGTCCAGACTGGTGAGGCCAGATGCGGCTGGGAGGTGTCAGGAAGTTCCTGGCTCTCCTTCGTCTCACCCATGAGCACCGATGCCCACTTCCTGTCTATCCATGAAGAATGACGCCACAGCCCAGCCTCTTCCCCTTAGTTCTTCCCTCCACCCAAAGTAGGATTGGGGGGGGGGGACCTCCTTATCCCAGAAACATACATAACTTGAGCAACAGGATGACAAACAAGACACAAGTCCGTTGTTTGGAAAATCGGAAGCATGCCACATGTAGCGAATACAGCGAATCGAGCCTTCCCACCGGAGACAGAATCGTGCCAACAAACCAGAATTTAACGAAGGTGGGTGAGCTGCCAAGTTATGCCATTCAGAATTTCTGAATAACTTTAGATGTAATTCTCAGAAAGGCATTCTTTCGAGAGAGAATCATCTGAACAAATCTGACAAAGACAGAACATAATCAAGTTCCAGGCCATGCAGTCAAATTAAAAAACAAAACCAAAAACACAACACTGAGTTTAGAGGAAAACGTCCAATGTTTTCCAGTGAAGCACACAAAGCGGCCAGCCAACGGGACTCCGCATGCGTCTGACAGGCAGGATGGAAGTCAGCGGTGCCACTGCGGGCGGAACGATACTTACAAGGCGGCAAGTTTACCTGACTTTTCTAAAGTTCCAAGCGGCTAACAATTAAGAAAACAAGAGACATTCATTGATTTGCAAATGTCCACTACACTTAACGCCTCACAGCACACACAGAATCTGTTACTGTGACCCACGTGGCACAAACATTTCCCCCTCAACCATTTGGGGGAGAAGAAACGCAAGGAAGTGCTGCTCTGGACTACAGAGCTGTGCTGTACAACTGACAGTATGTGACACTACCAAATGGGGGGAAAAAGACAGAGAAGAACCAACACAGCAAGCAGACCAACGGCCACTAACACGACTATGGATTCGGGGCGGAGAAATGCAACAGGTCAGCACTTCAGTTCAGATGGGTCATGTGTGCAACTCAACTGTTGCAGAGAAAGTTATAATATTTTGAAAGAACAGCATCCAAGCAGGAGCGGGCGGGCTTCGACAGCATGGGTTCGGGCTTGGGGGCAGAGTGCACACACATGCACGCACACTCACGTTCACACACACACACACAGTGCCTGCCACTCTCGCTGCACAGAGACTCCAGACACGACATGCTGTCTGGACCATCGCCTGAGATGCAGTTCAAGGTCAGGAGACCCTCAAGAGGTCTGGCTGCTGGGCCCAGACGATCAGGGCCCCACGCTGGCCTGTCCTGCTGGGCTTCCGCGCTCAGACCTGCGGTGGGACTGGCCACGCCTCCCGGTCTGGGAGGCACGTGCGTGTGAGTGGGAGTGAGACGGGCTGGAAAGACCGGGCTCCTTGCGTCCTGAGTGATCCCGCCTCAGCGGCAGCAGAGGGAAAGGGCACAGACTTGCTGCCTCGATAACACTCTAGGTGCCAGGAAACCTGCCATAGTTTCATGTAAAATGGATACAACATGAGAGCAGATGGATGAACGTGCTTGGAAGCCAGACAGGTCCGCACAGGCCTTCCCACATCAGAAGCCGGAGCAGCGGTCTGTGCACACCAGACGTGACCTCTCTGATCGGGAACTGAGCCCGCGCTTCCGTCCCCAGGGTAACAGAGGACCGATGCTCATGTTACAGCGATGGCCTGACAAAAGTTAACTCCTCCAGCTCTTGTCCAGAACGCGTTCCTTCCAAAGACAGGCTGCAGAGGGAGGGACGGTGTGGGGCCGCGGGGCCGCGGTACCGTGCTGGGGACTCACGTCACACCCGACGTGCTCTCTCCAGCCTTCACTGAAAATGTTCCTCAAATGCATTCATTTCTAAAGGGGCTAAACTGAAGATGATCTGACCTGTCTCTACTCAGTCAAGGTCCTGCCTCACCTCCAGGCCACAGGGACGAAAAGGCTGGGGTCAACCTGTGTCAGCTGAGTGGCCAGGCTGCCTGGCTTGACCATCAGGGGACACGTCTGGAGCCTGTTCTACCAACCCCACACCCCCCAGCCACATGAGTCCTGGGAAGGAAAGCATCTCGTGGGCCTCAGTTTCCTCATCTGTAAAATGAGGACATCCTCGTGACCTCAACAGCTGCCGGGACGATTCAAGAACCTAACGTGCACGACAGCACCGAGTCCCACGCAGGGCTCGGAGGCAGAGCAATGAGCCTGTCCGACTTCTCCCCGCAGGGGCTGGTGTCCAGGCCGCACCCGTCCACGCGTGCTCTCCAACAAGAACAAAATCAGCTCCGTGTTTTGGTGCAGCGCTTGGAGGCTGGAACCGAAATGTTCTGATGGGCGGAGTCTCTTCCTTGTGTCCCAGTTTAGCCGAGGGGGAGCGTAAGTCTTTCTGCTGGAAATGGTCTTACTGCAACGCCACTGTGCAGATGGCGGCAGTGTCAGGACACGGTCACATTTATAACTAACGTCCTTAGGCCTCCGTTCAGGGACACTGGCCTCTCACCTGAGAGAAGCCTGGGTGACCAGGGGTAGAACACCAAAATGAGGGGAGGAGACACCAGGCCCAGCCGGACACCCTGAGATGCAGCCCTGGGAACAGAAAAGCCCCTCCCGTTCCGGCGGCTGGTCGGATGGCAGCTTGGAAATCACTCGAGGACAGATGCTGGAAAGGGTCGGACAAAGAGATACGAAGGAAAGTGAGCCTGGCCAGTGACCACATCACTGGGGACCACACCCTTCTAGGTGAGGCCTTGGCCGAGGGGAGGGGCTCACCTGCAGCTCACGTGATGGTGGGGCGGGGTAGAGGGGACCTCAACTTTGTTTTAGGCCATCTTGCTAATAAAAAAGCAAGCTCGGTGCTCCCCATCACCTGGTTCCAAACAGAGAGAGCGCCTTCTTTACAAACAACGCAGCTGATGCCTCCCTATTTGCTCTGTCGTGGGTTTCCTCCCCCTCCCCAGTATCTGCACCGTTTCTGCCAAAACCCAGATGCTCCTGAGACCCACAGCTGTGCCCCCAGGGGTGGTGACTGTCTCTCCCCTCCTGCCAGGAGCACTGACCGAAAAATCCTAAAAGCTTGGCTCTACCTCTGACACCGTCCTCCTCCTGCAGGGTGGACATCCCTCTCCCGGAGCTGAGCTCTGCCCGCATGCCTCTTCCCATGAAGAGGCTGCATCAAGGTCCGTTTCTATAACTCCCATGACTTGTGGGACAGTTTAACTCCTCATCCAAGTCAATCAAAGCAAAAGCCATCCTCTTCCTCTGCCCGACTCCCAAACCACCCCTTTCTGTCCACGGCGCCACCCTTCTCGTAGGTCAGCCCACAAACGTCCTTCTCTCCCTCTTTCTCCCAAGCACTGTCCGATCAGCCCACCCTTTCCAGCTCCGCTCACAACCATCCAGACCCACCAACGCTCCTCACTTTCCTGACGATCATCTTCGATGAACGCCTCCCACCACCTCTGCACTCACAGACAGGAGTTCACACCTTGGCTTCCCGCACGTCAGTCTCGCAAGGTCTTTGACCTTTCTGATCCCTTGTGTGCCATGATTATCTCCTTATAATTATTATTAGATGTATTTTTAAAGCACGTACCTCCTTTGGTAAAGACACTATTTTATTTCTGTCTGCATTCAAGTTGTTCAACTTCTTGAGTTTCCCAATGCTCTTGGGTAAAGTCTGTAAAAATAAGATTTTTATTATTAACTTAACACACATTGTGAACATGGGTCTGAGTGAAATGGGTCTTTCCAAGGACGGAGAGAATCCAGTCTCATCCAGGAGGGAAGGCACGGCTCTTCCTGAACACGGGTGTTTGTAAGGCTCACTTGGGGGATGTGGAACCTAAGAGTTTTGCATTTGTGTTAAAACGAGAGTATGTTTAGATGAAATGAAGGCACAGGCCCCAGGAACAGAGAGTCACCTAGTAAAAGAGGTAAGGGAGGCTCTTCAGCTCAAGGAAGTGCCATTTGCACCCTCAGGGTTCACCTGTCCCCTGCACTTCCGAGAACCTGCGGATGGTGGCATGGAAGCCTGCAGGGGCCAGAGAGCTGGGCAGGGGGGCAGGGCCGGGGCAGGGCTGCCATGAGGCCAGGGGGAGAGAGGGAGGGCGCCCGGGCTGGTGCGGGAACCCGGTCCCTGCAGGAACCAGGCTGGGCCCGACACGGAGGGGGCTCTTCAATCCAGATGGAACCCAGGGGTGAAGGTAATTTTTCCAACCGTTGTGACGACTGCCTGTAATTCTACAACCAGGAATGAGGAAGGAGGGCTTGGGCACTCCCACCCCACCTGTCCAGGGGGCCGCTGTGCCATCCGAGGGGAGATGCTGCTGGGGGGCCCCCCTCCACGCCCCTCCACCACCCCCTGTGCCCTTGATTGACTCCTGCTGTCTTTTTCTGCTCTTTTCGCCTAAAGAGCATTGCTCGTTCTTTTATAAAGAAAAGAGAAAACGGAAGAAAAAGGAAAAGTAGGGTAAGAACTAATGTGACACTATATATTTAAAAAAAAGAGATTCAAAAAATGTCTTCTGTACAGCACAGGGAACTATATTCAATATCTTGTAATAACCTTTGGTGAAAAAGACATGGAAAGGAATGTATGTATGTACGTGCGTGACTGGGACACTGTGCTGTGCACCAGAAATAGACACATTGTAACTGACTGTACTTCAAAAAAAAAAACTAACATGACAAATGAAGATGGAGACGAGAGGACGGAAAGGCAGGAGAGTAGACTGGAGCAAAAACTCAGCTACAGGATAGTTTAAAAAGGAGAAGCAGCAGCAGAGGAAGTGCAGGTGGAGGAGGAAGGACTGGACGCAGGGGAGCGGCAGGGAGTGAGGGGCAACTCAGACCTGTCACCCTGGAAACCCCGCCTGTGCCACCCCATCAGCAGGCGGTACCCACGAGTTCCCCCCAGAGAACGGGGAGGCTGGTCCAAGGGTGGGGCACCGGCAGCTGCCTCACCCAACTTCTGAGACGGGGTGAGGTCAAGGTCAAAGCCGTGGTCTGGCTGCCCCTCAAAGAGCAGTCCTCCCCTCAGTGCTCCCACCTGGCCAACTCTATTTCCTCTCCCGCTCTGCTCTCTCATTTGCTCCAGGAACCCAGACAGAATGACGTTCCCTCTGGCCGTCCTCCTCGCATGCCTGGTGGAGACGTCAGCACCTCCCCCGACAGGGCCAGCTGTCCCCGCGCCTCCCTGGACATGCACTGCCTGCCAGTTCTGTCCTGGTACAGTGAGCACCGCTGGGACACACACGCCGACAGGGGAGCTTGCACTCGTAAAAAGGGGTTGTCTTTATGTTCCCGTGTTTGCTCCTCAGGTCCCTTTTTCACTTATAACATAAGCCAATGTCCATCCAGCCTTCACAAATTACAAATAAGTCGCACCGACCCCAACCGGCCCTTCTGATGCAGAAACCAGCCCGCACATCTGACATCACACTCACCAGGAGCCGGTTTTCCGTCAGAACCAATTCGGTGAGGCTTTCACAGTCCCCGACCGCCTCAGGCAACTGAGTGAGTCTGTTCTGATCCACCTTCAAGATGGACAGTTTCTTTAGCTTTCCTGTAAAAGCGTCAGTTAAACTCATTAGTTGTCATTGTTTTCTGATCACCGCTCAGGGTTTCCTCTCCGCATTCTGACTCATTTGATTTCCTCACCCAGCTCTTCGCATGACGAAACTCCTCCATTCTCACTGAGATCACGAAAGGTTTGAGAGTTCAAATAATTGGCCAGGAACATCAGAAACAGTTGGCAATTAGTAGCAAGTCCTCTAAAATGTCACTACATAAAAATACCATCGCAGAGCCAAAAAAAATTAAAGAAAAACCAACAGCTGGCTCTTGGTGGGGCTTTAAGAACAGGAGATGATTCCTGCACCAAGGAGAGATGGCTCATCTTACTCTAGGAGTCACCCTGGCTCAAAACAAAACACAGTGCAGTGCAGTTTACTGTATTGTGTCACCTACGAGTGACAATGACTCAGTGAGGACCCCTGAGATGAGGTCGTTCCTTCTGTGCGCAGTAAGATCTTACAAAGTCCTATTGAAACTGATCTATTTCCCTCAAAGCAGGAAGAATGGACTCGCTGGAGATGCCCTCGGGCTGTGGAGAAGGAGCCTGTGCTTCCCGCAGCCCCCGCAGGGCCCCCGCCGAGGGGGCAGAGGAGAACCTGCACCCTCAGATTCTCATTTTCAGCTCCGCTCCTCAGGAGGCTGAGCCAAATGGGCAGCTGCCCTCCTATCCACTGCGAGTGGCTTTCCCAGCCACACTTTCCCAGCAAAATCAGGAAACAGCCTCGATCATACAAGACAACAGAAAGCTGGAGGAAGATTAACCGGCCTTGTGTGCAGTCACGGGGCACTGCAGAACTAACCGCTTCCCAGGCTCCTTGCTTGGCAGAATCGGCACCTACTAACACTGCCCCGGGAGGGGGCCACCAGCCCGGGGGGCCGGGAGCCCGACAGCTGACAGAGCTCGCCCTGACTGAGCTTTCCAATGAGATCACGTGGCCTTGCAGCCTCTCCTTGAATACGTCTAGTGACGGGAGACTCACCCCTTCCCTAGGCAGCCCAAACTGATTTAGAACAAGTCTCTTTTAAGCTCTTTCTTCCTTTTTTTTTTTCAAATGAGGCGGTGGTAATTGGGTTTATTCATTTAATGCTATTTGGAGGAGGTGCTGGGGATTGAACCTGGGACCTCGTGCATGTCAAGCATGTGCTCCACCTCTTGAGCTATACCCTCCGCCCCCTAAGTGCTTTCTTAAATCAGGAGTCATGGCCCTTTCCTCGCACTTGCCTGAGGTGATCAGTCTGCTCCTCCTCCTACCTGACGGCCTGTTAAATGCTTGCAGTCGGCCAGCCCACGCCTCCTACTCCTCCCCCAGTCCCAACAACAGGACACCTCCACTTCCGACCACTGCTTTCAGATGCCGTGGACGATTCACAGTGAATATTTCTACCGAGAGTCAAAATCCTCATCCATTTCCACCCAGCCTGGACCCAAAGGCAGTGTCTGCGTCCCTGCCGAGGCGCTGTGATCAGTGACCACATTCATCTGGGCCAAACACCGGAACGGGAGTGGTGCTTTGTCACACGGCTTCTCCAAACCCTGAGCATCTTTCATCCCTTTGATGTCGTGAATAAAGGTTAAATGAAGGCCAGAGACTCCAATCCTGTGACAACTTACAGGGTTCAACACAGTTTCTAAACAATTTTCCGGCGGCTCTGTGATGGTGGAGCTGCCAGTCCTTGTCTGTTTGCATCTTCTCTGTGTTTATTTTCTCACCCCGGACTGAGTTCCTTGATGGTAAAGGAAATGTCTGGACTGCTTTGTAAAGGAAACAGCATCGGATGCTTCCAGGAAAAGACGATTCTCAACGTACCAGGGAAAGCTCAAGTCAACACCCCGACTCCCTTTCACAGCCCTTCCCTGGTCACACGGTAAGGTCAAAGCTAGTTTCTCATAAGCCGTTTACGATGCTCAGTTGGAGATGTCTTAGTGGCTGTTCATATGCCTGAAACACATTCTCTGATTTGGGCTAATTCCTCCCGAGATCAGGGAGACAGGATGCGGACAGAGGAGACGGGGCGGCGGAGGAGGGGCAGCACCTGAGCAGAATAACACTCAAAAGTGCTGCCAGACCAGCACGGCAGAAGCACCTGCGTGCAGAGACACCGACCCTGTATCACACGCTCCTGGCACTCCTTCTTTAAGAACACACGACCAGGGGACGAAAGGAGCCGCGAGCGCAGCTCCCGCGAGGGGCCAGCGTGGGCTCGCAGCACACCGGATGACAGCCAGCACCGAGAGATACTCACCGATGCCGTCCGGGAGCACTTCCAGCAAGTTCTGGGAAATGACAAAATCTGTCAGTGAAGTCAGGCCGCTGATCTCTTCAGGGAGTCTCTCCAACCTGTTTTCAGAGACATCTAAGCACAGCAGGTTCTTCAGATTTCCTATTTCCTACATCAACGACACAGAAAAGGAGACCTAAGGGCATCTAAACCCGCCGCAGCACAGAGGGATGTGTTCACAGGGCTTTTTCGCCATCGAATCCCAAAGCGGTTCTATGGATGTTTCCTCGGTGTCACATGAACAACGTGACCCCTGGCGCGTGCAATTCTCTGTGTTCACGACGTGGCATTTTGCACATAGTCATCTACAGATGTCTGTCCACACATACACTGTTCCCCCTGCATGTCTAACAGCTGACGGTTTATTACTTTCTCAGTAACTGCCTGGCACACCCCTCCCCCAACCCTTTGACTCTTAAGTAACTAAAAATCTCTCGCTCAGGATTTCTCATAGTTTCCTAGGGAAATCTCAGTGCTCATCGAATTCTTGCCCACCTCAGTTGCTGATCTGTCCTTCCCTTTTCCCAAATGCAGCCAAGACCTCAGAAACACTCAGATTAGCTCCCTAGCCGCATTAGTCACAGGGGACGTCATGGTCATTCCAGCGCCACAACTGCAACAATTAGAATTTTACTGAAGGATTTTTTTCTGCCTTAGGCTTCCCTGCACCGATATGCACTCCCCTCCGAGGTGCACAGCCGAGCAGAGACAGCCTCTGAATGCCTGCAACACATGAGCCCCAGGGCCATAGTGAAATATACTCCAACTTCAAACACTGGCTCTAAGGGACACCAAAAAGCAAAATTCAGTCCCACCTGGAGAAAGATAAAATAAGGGGAAAACGCCCCTTTGTGGTTGTCATTGTTTGTTCAAGTTTCTCTCTCAACTGACCAGAAGGTGGGCTTGTTGGCTGGGACCCCAAAGGTGACCAGGGACTCAGAAGTCCACACGAGACCGCATTTCATTTGGAACCTGGTTCTCACACTTGGTACCAGTAGGAAAAACGTGAACACTGTGACCTTCTAGTGTAACCGTGAGCAACATTTAGAAAAAATATGAAACAAGAGCTTTGGACACGGTTTTCATGTCAACTCTTACAGGGCAAGACGTGGTCAGATTATCCCAGAGCACTTGGGCACGTCACCAACAGCGGCAGAAACTGATACCATCCGAATTGGGCGTCCCGGTAATTTCCAAATTTTCTGGGCTGACAGCAAGCAACCCAAGCGTAAAGCAAGGATGAAATAAAATGCAGACTTTACAGATTCGGGACATATTCACTATCTTTAGAAATGGTGGGTTGAGGCTTTCGATTTTTCTTTGGTAATGTGGCATGGGTGAACGCTTGATATATTTTTCCAAATCTGCTTTTGCTACCGATGTTTCAGCTTTCAAGATCCCTTTGATAGAAAAGTTCATGTAGAAGCAGAGACTACATGGCGGGTGGTGGGTGTTTTACATTTTAGGGGCGACAACGTGAAATTACGACTCACCTGAGGTAATTCGGACAGCTGATTTCCGTCCAACCAGAGTTCCTTTAGATGAAAGAGAGCTCCGATTGATTCTGGCTAAAACAAAAAAAATAATGTTATGGTAACAAAGCCCCAACTTTTAGCCTTCCACTAAGAAAGAAAGAATCCTGGACTCAGACACAGAGAACAAACTGCTCCCGAGGGAATACAGGGGTGGGAGGGGATAAATTGGGAGTTAGAGATTTGCAGATACTCACTGAGGTATATAGAATAAACAACAAGTTCACACTGTGTAGCTCAGGGAATCATATTCAATATCTTGTAGTGACTTATGGTGAAAAAGAATAAGAAAACGAATATATGTGTGTTCATGTATGACTGGAGCAGTGTGCTGTACACCAGAAATTGATACAATGTAAACTGACTACATTTCAATAAAAATATATATATACCAAAAAAACCCTGATTCAACAGTTGACAGCTGGGTGCCAGGGAGGATGCTGGCTGGTACCTGTCCAACATCAGGCCTCCCTTCCTAAAAGCAACCCCACTGCTCCCCAAGGAGGCCAGCTGTTTCCACTAGTGCCCACTGTCTCCTGACTCTCCACCCCCAAATCATCTTTCTTAACCTGTGTGAACTGAAGCACATCCTCTCATGCTGCTGAGCTGTATCCATGGAAACCCTGGTTTACAAGCACCCCTCTATGTCTCCCCCCAAATCTGCTGTGACCATAACTAAGGATGAAGTGCAGTTCAAATCTCTCTTCAGTACTGACTTACCAAATTATAGATTTCATTGTTTCCTAAGTCAAGTTCTTCTAGTCTCCGTAGCTGGGTAAGAGAGCTATTAGCAAAAACAAACAAACAAAGGGAGGGAGCTCTTAGAGAGGATGCAGAAATGCTGAGCAAGATGGTATCCCCTGCTTGGACTGGTTTCCAAACATAAGATTCATCTGGACTTTCTGGCCATAAATATTAAGGGAAGGACTATTAAGGGAAGGCTGGCATCTTTCAAACTTTCCAAAAGACACAGAACTTCTTTTTGACAAGATACTGCTGTGCCTTCCCCCCACCCCCCTCCCCAACGCTTAAAGAAATTCATTCAGTGTATTATTTCCCCAGAGACTCACTCAGGAAGATATGTGAGAAGATTCTCTCTCAGTTCCAGTGAAGCCAGGTTATACAGACTAGAAATGAACATAAGGGGAAAGTATCAGGGAAGTTTCTAACATTCTGCTTACTTCACAATATGCACACTGCGCAAGGAACAAGCCCTAACAAAACCTCGCACGTCGCTTCCCGGGGCAGAAGTATCCAAGACCACCACCGCCTGTACCCCCACTAACAACATAACCGCTACTTCCCAAATTTTAATATTAAAAGTTCAAAACAGTAGCGTCATCACTCTAAGGCTCCCTCACTCGGATACTCTGTGCAGTTGACACGCGAACGTAAGTCACCAGCCCTTGAAAGGGAACCACTCCCCGGACCAAGATAGCAGTCATAGACGCGCTTCTGGACTTGAGAATGTCAAAAATGTGCGGGAACGCCTTTAATCTCACGAAGCCCTTCTTCCCAACGTCAGTGAGGAGCCGTGCCTGTTTGGAAGCAGTGGGCCCTGGGTCCAGGGCACCCATGGGCTCTCACCAGACGCTGCGCTCACAGAGCAAGGGGCCACTGAAACGCAGGAGGCGTAACGTACTATCGCGCGCCACGTGGTGCCTGGGGCGCAGGGCTGCTTCGGTAAACGGCGGCTGTAATAATGTTGCTTTTATTCTTATTAAACCCCAGAGTGGCACTCTTTGCAGCGGATTCTCCTGCGCCTCGGGTGCAATCCATGTCCGTGAGGAGCACGGTTAAAGGAGACAGATGGGCTCCCCCTCAGAAGCTGATGATCTGCGTCGCGTCTGCACAGGCAGTGGCAACCCTGCACCCGCAGAAACCGCACACGTCCCAGTGATGTCGGCGCTGGCGAAACGTACTGATTCAGAAGAAACCTGAGTCGCCGCGACTCCAGCAGGCACCGCACTAAGCTCCAGCCAACCCAAGAAGTGAGCTTCCGTTGGTATCACCAGAGTGACGCCCCCACGCGGAGGACTTTCACATGTGCCGCACAGAACACAAGGAGTCAAACTTCACCCCAACCCTCTAATCCGCCCTAATCCTCTGTTCTCCTCCAGCGTAAGAGCCAGAATCACAGGCGCTAACAGAGCTGGTTTCGTAACATCAGCAAATGCACATGTGATTTGCATGATCAGCACACATACGCATATAAACCCCATCTCCTCGGAAATGCATGTGAACTACACGATGAAACACACAAGTTCGGTGTATCCTCCTCCAGTTTTAGGAAACGAAAAATGATTTTAGAAATTTAGAAACCACGTAACAGTTCTCATAATCAAAGCGAGAGCAAACAAATAAATATTTTTTAATTGCATAGTATCTTGCTAACTACACAGACCTTAATTTTTTTTACCACTCCCCTGTAACAGATATTTTATCCTTCAATGTTAATTTCTGGCACATTAAATTTCTATGGAATACCATCAGAATAACCTCCTTCTTCTCCAAAAAGTACTATTTTCTATCCTTCCTGCCCCTCCCACCACCAAATGAGGTTTTTAAAAAAAAAAAAAAACCTCACAAACTCCTGCAGAAAGATACCACAAAAGTTTTTCCTCTCAGCATACTGACCTTAACGTCTCACAGAGTCCCCGAGAGCAGGCACATGAGGGACATTCTTCTAGAAGCCAGAACGTAGGTCAACTGTATTTTTAGGATTCTATTTCAGGGACTGGATGAGGGGTTACTTTAAAAAAAAATTACATCTGTTCTCCACTATATTTTAAAAATTCCTGCCCTAAACCACTTGGATTTTTTTTTTCATTTTGGGGGACAAAATCATTAAGAAAGTAAAGAATCAAATAAACTGAAGTGCCCCAAGCAAACAAAAGACAGTACAGTATTAAACCATTAACATGTATAAACCTATAAACATTTACAGCAATAGTACTTGACTGGGGAAAGCGGTACTGAAGGCGGGGGGGGGGGGTGGAATTACACAGTCACAGCAGTTCTGCTATTTTCACACCGGATTCGTCCTGAAGCAATCTCTGGTTACAAATTTCCTTATGGTGGCTGTGCTCCAGAAATTGTCCTAAAATCCTTTCATTTTTGTTCTTGAAACAATAAATATCTTATAGAAATTCCCAGGCCTCAAAAAAAGAGTATTCAAAAAAGATGCCTTAAAAAAAACTTAGAACTAGAGTTATCGAATGACTCAGCAATCCCACTCCTGAGCAAATATCCAGAGAAGACTCTAATTCAAAAAGATACATGCACCCCAATGTTCATAGCAGCACTATTTACAACAGCCAAGACATGGAAGCAACCTAAGTGGCCATCGACAGATGACTGGATAAAGAAGATGTGGCCTGCCTATCTATCTATCTATCTATCTATCTATCTATCTATCTATCTATCTATCTCTATCTCAGCCAATAAAAAAAGAAAAAATAATGCCATTTGCAGCAACATGAATGGACCTGGAGATCATCATTTTAAGTGAAGTAAGCCAGAAAGAGAAAGAAAAAAATACCATATGATATCACTTATATATGGAATGTACAAAAAAAAAAGAGACACAAATGAACTTATTTACAGAACAGAAACAGACACACAGACATAAAAAACAAATTAATGGTTACCAAAGGGGAAAGGGGCTGGGGTGGGGGGGGATGAATCAGGAGCTTGGAATTTGCAGATACTAATTACTATGTATAAAACAGATAAACAACAAGGTCCTACTGTACAGCACAGGGAACTACATTTGATGTCTTGTAATAACCTATAATAAAAAAGTATTTATATATATATATATTATTTATCATATATATATATAACTGAATCACTATGCTGTACACCAGAAACTAACACAACATTGTAAATCAACAATACTTCAATTTAAAAAAAACTTACTTGCCAATATTTTCAGGCAGAGACTGCAATGAGATGTCATTTACAGAAAGACATGTCAAATTCTGTAATTCGGGAAAGCTTTCTGGTAATCTAAAAGAACAAAAAACAAATGTCAATATAATTGAAAAAGAGAAGTGCATATATACTAGAGGTATATTAAACATAAATATAATGATTTCTTCTATATGCTAATTGAAATAACCTTCTAAAGTTACATCACATATGGCACGTTTGTCTTGTTTTCCTATTTATAAGGCAAAAAATAACGACTTGGACTGCCTCGCAGTGCAGGGGCATGATAAATACTTGCTGAGAGGGTGACCCAGAAATAATTAAAGAGAAAAGATATGCAAGCTGTAAGAATAAAAGAGAAAAAGATGCTGTAAGCCTACTAAGTGCTCTATGAAAGAAAATAGCTTCTGTAACTGAAAATGCCTGAGAGTGGAAATACTTTATTGATGAGGAGAAAATAGGGAGAAATTTTAGCCCACAAGATTATAATAAAACACAAGACAGCTGCTTAATAATTTTTTTTTCCTGTAGCTTATACCCAGAGCAGCGCTATGAATCACTTACAATTGAGCAGCTGACAGGCAATTGCTACTTTCTTAATGTTTTCCTTTTAATTTGATTTAAGATGCCAATCACTTGAGCAGATTACATGTTTCACAAGGGTCTACACAAAGAAATTTTGTATACTTCTCTTAGACTCTACTGAATGGTGAGGTTTCAAAATAAAACTATTATTTAAATACTTACAAAGGAACTTTACTTTCAATATATCTATGGTTGCCAGTATTTAGGGAGAAAAAAAAAACATTAACTGAAGGCAAAAAGATCTCATTGCATCTAAAATGCTGAAAGTCGTTATATATAAATCCACTAATACAGAGAAAAGATCACATAACTTTTTTTTGCATAACTCTTTTTTTCTTTTTTTGCAGGGGATGGTTGAGGACTCCTGCCTGAGTGATAGTCTCTAGATTAGAATCTTTCATTTCTTTCCTCTTTCTAGGTTCCTTTAAAAACAAATAAACAAACAAACAAATCCTCCATTACCGTTTGATATTTAATCTAGGTAATTCCGAACTTCAAAGCCAAATCCGGTCCCCACGATTAGAAATGGACCCACCTGGCCCAGAGAGACCGCGGGACCAGACTCCGGAGGGCCATCCCTGCATGGTTCTCCGGACCACACAAGTGCCTGGAATCCACCGGTCAGGGGGCTCACAGCTGAGCCAGAAGCCCCAAGGAGGGGCTCCGGACAGCCCGGTTCTCAAAAAAGGCACCCTTAGTACTACCCACAGAAAAGCAAGCAGAAAGGTTACCTAGTCAGTGGGTTTCCACTGAAGTCAGCGATCTGCAGTGCTTTACAGAATGAGATGCTCTCTGGAATTTCAGGAATATCTGTAGAGGGAAAGAAAGTATCTGTCATTTACCTCCACAGTGGAGAGTTTTCATCGTCCTCACGCTGGACCACAGTCACAGGGGAGTATCTGCTGAAACATGGCATGCACTTCTAAAGTACTTTCCCACGTGTATTTTGTATTTGCCTTCCTAGGAGAAGATGAATTCTAAACAGAAGCACGTTAAAGAAAAAGATTAAAAACCACCACCGCCACCAAGTTCCATCACCTTACCAGAAGTCACTGAGGGCATTCCCATTCCCCCATTTTCATTTGGTTGTATCAGTACAAAGCATTCTAAAGGATGCATTTTTAAATCACGAATTTTCTTCTGATTACAAACATAATTTGGAAAACTCAGAAAAGTCCTAAGAAGAACAAAAAAAACCCCACCAACATCCCCAACACCCAGAGAAAACGTTTCACTCTGAAGTATTTGTTCATTGTCACGTTGTCAGGCACACACACACAGAATGTGTATATAAATAGATTATATTGCAAAACACTAGGTTTGTGCATCCCTTTATGTTATTTTATAAACCTTTTCCCCTGTCATTATTCTTCCAAATAGTTGGCTGTTCTCAGTGGCACAAAAAGCCCACTTTTATACTTTCATACTTCATTTAGCCAATCCCCTGTTGTTGGACATTCAGGTTGCTCCAAATTCCTAATGTTATAATTCTATTCATGTCCATTGCTGGTTATTTCCTTAGGCTGAGCGCCCAGACTGTCATTATTGCGTCAAAGGCGCTCACATCTCTAGAGCACTTGATAAATACTGTTAAATTGCTTTAGAGGGGCGAGTTACACCCATTTACACTTTGACCAGCCAGTATAAGGTGCCCAGTTCAACATCCTTCCCCTTCCTTTTTTCCCTTACATTTTAGAAACTGCCCACGTTACTGGTGAAGTAGTCTGGCAACATTCTGTTTTACATTCCTTTTATTAGTAAGGAGGCTGAATAATTTTCCTCTGTGTTTGCCTGCCACTAAATACTGTGATTTTTGAAATGACCAAAATTGTTACTTTAAATTCCTCTTTCTCTTGGTTTAAAACCTGAGGTTACAGCCTTTTTGGGGGCTTGAAAAGTTCAGTTCACAGCATTTAATTTCAAGAATCCGTTTACTTTGGACCCGCTAACATTAAGAAGGGCTAAAATAGGAAAGGTTCTCCTGATCCTGGGCCATTTCTTCCACCAGCTTGACAAATGCAAGTTGAGCCAAAACATACCTAATATTTCTAAATCGGGGGTGGAGAGAAGACAGGAGAAATAAAGGGGGAAATGCACGCCCTGCTCCAACACCACAGAGTAACCAGAAGCTACAGAAAAGCTCTCAGTACAAATTTAAAAGCTGAAAATATTTAAATTTGTGGTCACATTTGCTTGACACTGTTCTCTGCCTATGCAGGGTCACACAAGGTCGTGAAGGACACACACTACTTACGATCCTAGTTTCATAAACATGATGGCAATATATACACACACAGACACACACACACTTCAACTTTTTAAAAAAGGAAAAGGCAAAAAAAAAAGGGGGGGGGGAGGAACGAATGAAGGTACATCCATCCATTACAGGATGGCACAGCTGTCCAGGTAGGTGAGGTTTGCCCAGGTGAATGGTGCTGTTGGCCCTGGACCCCCCAACCGTCCCTCCTCTGCCACCACTAAGGTCCCGGGGGGAGGTTTTTATAAGACTGAGAAAAGGGGCTGGGGCTGCAGCCATGGCCTCACAAGCCAAGGAAGGTCAAGCTGACACTCACACGCACAGAGCACAGCAGCTTTCTGCTCCATCCGAGAAAAAGATCAAGAAAACAGAGAAAGAGGAAAGGTGTGTCAATTAGGTAGAAGTCTTTATTTCTCAGGGCATCAGAAACATCACTGAAGCCTGGGAAGACGGGCCCTCCACGGGAACACATGAATAGCGGCTGTAAGAAACTGGTCAGGACTGGTCTGGAGTTAGGGCATCTGAGGACACCTAAAGCAACTGCCTGAGAACAGCGCTGGACTGAGTTCAGACAGAGCTGGCCAAGAGGCTTGCTCCACAGGAAGGCGTCCCCTCCTCAAGCTAACCTGCTTATGTACAAGCTCAGCAAACAGAACACAGGGCTCCTGCTCCAAAGACCATTGCTTTCCACCCTATGCCTGTTCCTAACTTGCCTGAGAAGAAGGTATTTGCCTGCAAAAATAAGAGCTTTGGACAAGAAAGGCAGTAGTGTGGTTTGAAGGGTCCTGATTATCGGTTTGCTTTAGGTCACTAAAAATAGCAGAACAGACAACTAAGCAAGGGGAACATTTACGCATCCTTAAGTACCCAGCTAAAATGTCACACCCTCGGGAACACCTCTGGGCCCCAAGGCGGGGCTGGACTCCCCTGCTCTCAGGTTCCGTGGGCTTCACCTTTGTGAAATCCATCACGGTTCTGATCAGATAAGTGCCTGGCAATGGTCAGTCTCCCTTGTTGAACTCTAAGCTCACTGGGGAGAAGGACCACACTGGCCTTGTCTGCTACCATTTCCCCAAAGCTGAGATAACTCCATTGGCCCCACACATCCACAGGTTCCACGTTTGGGGATGCAACCAACTGTGGATCAAAAATAGTTTTTAAAAAATTTCCAGAAAGTTCCAAAAAGCAAAACTTGAATTTGCCTCACGTGGCAACTAGTTACATAGTATTTCCATCGTACTTACAACTATTTCCATTGTGCTAGGTATTGTGAGTGATCTGGAGATGGTTTTACTGTAGATGGGAGGATAATGCAAAGACGATGCCATTTACATGAGAGATCTGAGCATCCTAGAATTTTTGGTGTTTTTCTCCTTCCCTTTTCTCCAAGGGACTGCTGTATTAAGCTTAAGCAGCCCACAGGTACCGAATGAATGAGCGAGAAACTCACATTGCTGAGCCTCTGCAAGGACAGCTGCTCTCTTCATCTGAGCCACGAAATACCCCCCAAAGGGTGGAAATTATCTCTATTTTACCAGTGCGAAAACTGCTTGGTCCCAGCTCACAAGAGCTAGTACAAAGCCTGCAGGTTACTCCCAGCTGAAATCCCCCTTTAACTGCCTTCCAAGGGTTTTGCTCTGGACAAATGTGACATTTAAGAATCAACATGTGAAAAAATACATGTAGAAACCACTTCTCAATGAAGCCAAGGCTGACCACCAACCTCATTAAAAACCTGTAATTAGAATCCTTTCCCCTGCAACCCCCTCTTCCCACTCACGGCCAATGTCCAAATCCTTCTGATTAGTCACCAATTATTTTCCCTCCCCATCTTGTTCTGTCCACTCTTATTAGTATCAACCTAGTTCAGGCCCTGACCACCTAGAGGATGACACTGTCCTCTTTATCTGTCTCTCTCTGTATCCCACGGGTCCTCCATCAACTCCCCAAACAGCCAGGAAAGCAATCTGTGACAGTCTTCTGCGTTTCCTGGGGCCCTCGGGCAAACTACTTAGCCCCCTATGCCTTCATATCCTTCTCTGTAAAATGGGTCGTCAACAGGTATTTTTCAAATAATGCCAGCATAGCACACCGTGAGTGCTGCAGAAGTTCAGAGAAGGGGAAAAAAATCAGACCAAGGGGGACACTTCTGCTTTGAACTAAATAAGGAAGAGCTGAGAAGAAGCATGGGCCGGAGAGGGAGAGGGGAGGCCCTGGGCAGGGAGTGCTGAAATTTCAGAACATCAGCACGGGAGCATCTGGAGAGAAGGCTGGAAAGATCTCTTGATAGCAGACGACCAGCTCCAGGTTCAGCTGTTTACCATTAATTTGCTAGACAAGGCATTTCCTCTCCTATAAACAAGGGGTAATCAGACCTCCAGCTTCTGAGAGTAACAGAACAGCACAGGGCACACGCTGCTGGACCACTTTTTTTATACTGGGTGGGGGGTCAGTAGAGAGGATCACTACTTTCCGTTCTAGGCCAAATAATCTGAAGAAGCGCAGTGCAATTATAAACAGCAGCGTAAACAGAGATGAGAAGGACTGAGAGCACTTTTGCTGCTGTTTTAACCGTCTGACAAGCCATACGATTAAACCCTGAATAAACATCTATTTACAAACAAATACGAGAAATAACTAATGAGGTTCTTCATCTCATTAAAGAATGTCCCCCAAACTTCTAATTGCCACCGTTCAGCTTAGTTCAAGCTTCTAGAGAAGGTGAAACAGCAAAAAGTTTTAATCACTCTTCATTCATTCAAACTGGCTTTGTCTCCTGTATGTTCATGAATAAAAGCCTAAAATTCAATAATGACAAAATGTCTGAGAATGATTATAAAACTAAGTAATCTTTTCCCTACAACTTTCTTAAGATAACGTTTTATTTCAGGCCCACTTTAGGCTCTCATTATTTCTGAGTCAGAATTGCTTTGAGTTAGTGAGACACAATTAAAACATAAAAATGCCTGTAGTTTACCAAAAAATAAAAAGTGTATAAATTATCAGTATAACCACGAGCACAGCCTGTACACAGAGGACTGACAGTCAGCCCTGAACCCTGCAGCACAGAGTCTCCAGCACCGCCCCGCAGACACCACGCTGGCACCGTCAGCCCAAGGGCTTCTGAGAAGAAAACAGCTTTCGCCGCAGCCACTGTCATTTAGAAAGTGATTTAAGAGGACAGTCCCTGCCCTTCCTGGCACTCCTAGTCTTTTCTTTTTTTTCCAACTGAAGTCTAGTTGATTTACAATGTTGTGTCAGTTTCTGGTGTACAGCGAAGTGATTCAGTTATACATATAACATTCTTTTTCAGATTCTTTTCCATCATAGGCTGTTACAAGGCTCTGAATATAGCTCCCTGCGCTGTACAGTAGGTCCTTGTTTCCTTCTTTTCTCGGCATCCGTTTTTAACATATCAGGCTGGGATTCCACCTTCCTCAACCCCACCCCTCCGGCCCCAGCATGGGAAAACTCAGCCTGTGCTGCGCCTCCGTTCCTCACAAAAGGGGCTACGCTTGGCGATTCTTGGCTTCATCCCCCAACCTGGGCTACT